GTATCAGTTTGTGCATGTTTTGAGATCGTTTTTAATCCTACAACAAGAGCGAGAGCTAGAGGGTAAATACAAGCATGTCGCTACATGCCACATATCAGGACGTTTAAGCAGCCCAACTTGTCCAAAATGCCTTAACAGTATCATTTAGTAAGTGATATACATATTGTACAGCTTCCCTGATTGGAGCTATGTGAAGAAAATGAATTCGATCCCAAAATTTTCCTCATTTTCCCTTTTTCCTCTTCTTTTGCAAGTTCCTTCTATTATACTTAGGGGCTGTTTGGTTCAAAACCCTCATTATGAGAAAACCCAATTTCGGGGGGAAACCACTTTTTGTGTTTTCCATCCACTTCTCAAAATTGTTTTTTTTTTCCTTGTTTGGTTGGGGCAAAAGCAACCCCAGTTCCGAGAAAACCCCAATTTTTATTGTTTGGTTGGGCATCTAAAAAATAAGAAAACACACAATTAAGAAACATTTCAATTGTTTGGCTGGGTTAAAACAAATGGAAAAACATCGATGTGAAGCTTGTATGCGGTCACTAAAGCATTAAAATATTCAAATTTATTCAACTTCGGCCCACTTCTGCACAAAATAGTAGGAAATGGGTTTTGCCAAAAAGGAGTGATATGCGCTGATGCTTTGGGCATCCACTTCCCAGAAAAAGAGGCTTGAAACAAACAGTGGAAGTGAGATATATTTATGAAAAAAATCTGATGTGTATTTTCCCAGAAAAGATTTTTGACCGAACCAAACAGCCCTTACTATAATATTTTCTCAAGAGTTTCTCTTGACATTTTGGGCTTATTTCATGTTACCCAATGTATCTCTTACGTTTTACATACTACATCCTAACCCTAGATGCTTCCACAGTCCCGTAGCCGCAATAAAGCTCCCAACTTTTTGAAATACAAACACTAAGCAATGCCATTTTGAGCTCAATTTTCCGACTCTAAACATAAAATTCATCCACAGGGTCATCATATACGGTAATTTAAACTACAGAATCAGGAAAAAAAAAAGCGAACAGTTCCAAATTTGAAGAATCAAGCAGCAGTAACACTAAGAAATCAAGAGTGAGAACCAATAAAAGATTCAAAACCCTAGCTAGGGTTTTCCAGAGAGAGAGAGAAAGAGAGAGATGAACCTGTATCAAGACGACGGTCGAGTTGGAGAAAAACCCTGGGAAGAACCAGCGGGAAGAGACTGAGATCCGATCGGGGGAATCCTGTTACGCCTCGTTTGGTAATGGAAGAAGGAATGAAATGGATTGTACGTGGGAATGGAATGGTCATTCCCATTCTCATGTTTGAGTACTTTTGTAGAATGAGGCTAGAATGAAAATCTCGTTCTCATTCTCATGTTTGGTATCACTTGTCCACAAGTGAGAATGGAATCGCATTTTCTAATAATGTCCTTACAACAACATATATTTTTAATAAGATAAAAATAAACATTAATGATAATAACTAAACAATTTTATTTATGTATATGTTATACTAATTTATGTGCATGTTATACTATTGCGCATGTTATCTCTCAAGTGTATGTTCTATTTATATTTTTTAAACAATACTCACTATTTCTTAGTCTTAAAAAATTAAAGAAAAATAAATAAAAGATTATAGCATCTTTCATAGGTCCAAAAAAAATATAAAGAATGATATCCACAGTTGATGCATATTGCATATGAAAAGGATGTCAGAATTACTAATGTGGAAATCAGTTGATTAATAGGGGTATAATTAAAAAATAAATAACTGATTTGATTCTCTCTTGAATGGGAATGACCATTCCCTATCTTCTCACTTGGAATGCTCATTCCCACAAAAAGTGAGAATGGTCATTCCCTAGGAATGGTCATTCCAACATCTAAAAAGTTGATTTGTTTGGTATGAAGGAATGGGAAGTGAGAATGTCATTCCATTCCACCCCATTCCCGCCTACCAAACGAGGCCTTAGGGGCTGTTCGTTTGTCCAAAAAAAGAGGGAAATCAAAGAATAGGAAACCTATTTTTTGGAAATTTTATTTTGAGGTTGTTTGGTTGGAAAAAAAGAAGGGAATTAAAGAATAGGAGATGAGGATGAGATGAGTTGTCGTCATATTATTGGATGATGTGAGTGATTTTTTAAGAAAACTTGTTTTGATGTTGTTTGGTTGGCTAAAAAAATAAGGAAATGTATTATAAGAAACCTATTTCCTATAATATGTTCTTTTCTTGTGTTTGGTTCATTCTTAAAAATAAGAAAATAGATGAGATGAGATGAGTTGTCATTATATTATTGGATGATGTAACCCACACTTAAGAAAATTAATTTCCTTGTTTTTTTGGAGGAAATGGGTGGCGAAGAAAGTTTAAGGAGATGAGATGAGTTGTCACCATATTATTGGATGATGTGATTGATTTTTATATATGAGATGTGATGAGATGAGATGAGTTGGATGATGTGATGATAAAAATAATATTTTATTAGATGTTGGATGATAAAAGTAATATTTTATTGGATGAGTTGGATGATAAAATAATATGTTATTAGATGAGTTGGATGATAAAATAATATTTTATTAAATGTTGGGGTAAGTTTTAGGGATGAAAATGGTTGAAAATAGGAAATGAGAGATTTCCATGCTCCCATTTCCTATTCTTGGTTTTTAGGAAACCAACCAAACAGCCCCTTAGGCTCTTTTAAGGACAAATTTTCAAAACCATCCGGTTTTGAAATTTATTCCAAAAAAAAAACCCTTTTCAACTTTAATTATAAAAACAAATCCAGTTGGATGAAACTGGGTCTGTTTTTGAAAAAAAAATTCAAACTTCACGGGAGTTCAACTCCCGTGAAGTTTTTTCTCATAACAAAACTTCATGGGAGTTCAACTCCCGTGAAGTTTAAAATTTTTTTTTTTTAAAACAGACTCAGTTTCATCCAACTGGGTCTGTTTTAGTAATTAAAGTTAAAATGGATCGTTTTTTATAAATAAATTTTTAAAAATGATGGTTTTGAAAATTTGTCCGCTCTTTTAATTATACAGAAAGTAGTAGTTGGATCCAATTGCTAGCAGGCGAGCTATTTGACCCGACCCGTTTGGAGGAATAAGGAGGAAGAATTGCATGCCAAATTTACCCCCACAAAAATAATTTAAAATAATTTAATTTTAATATTATATTGACATGTCACAAGTGATAGATGCTCTTTATTATTCCCTGATTTAAGACTTAATCCCAAGAAATCAAGTGAGAATAATAACAGACAGACATCTTATTGTGTATATTTGAGTTCAAACTCTATTAAGCCCATATGCTTTCATCTGCGAATCTATTAAGCCCCCGTGGTTTTTTTTCGACTCTATTAAGCCCCCGTGGTTTTATCTGCAAATCTATTAAGCCATCGTGGTTTTTTTCGACTCTATTAAACCCCCGTGGTTTTCTCTGCAAATCTATTAAGCCCTCGTGGTTTTTTTTCGACTCTATTAAGCCCCCGTGGTTTCATCTGCGAATCTATTAAGTCCCATTTGAAATTCAAAGTACGGGGCTTAATAGATTCGTAGATGAAACCACATGGGCTTAATAGAGTCAAAAAAAAAAAGAATGAGGACTTAATAAATTCGCAGATGAAACCACATGGGCTTAGTAGAGCCGAAAAAAACCACGGGGGCTTAATAGATTCGCAGATGAAACCACAGGGGCTTAATAGAGTCGAAAAAAACCATGGGGGCTTAATAGATTCGCAAATGAAACCATAGGGGCTTAATAGAGTTTGAGTTCCGTATATTTGGTTTGATGAAATTTGGGTTGAAAAAGAAGTGCTTTTATTTGATGCTGTGTAGGAGTACATCGTATTTGCAAATAATGAACGCAGCTGAAAGAAGACTACTTGCGACAAATTTGTACATAAGTCACAGTTAAAAGCCAATCTTTCAAGATCATAATAGCTAAACCACTGAGCCGTTTGGCT